AGTTTTAATGGTTTTCTTTAAGGCGAGAGTACCCAGATTACAGACCAGGCACTGTAAAGGTATGTTTTTTTTGGGGGAGAGGAAATAATATTTCCCATGATGGAATCACAGTAAAGTGAGCCAATGGACAGTGACCTAAAGCAGACCAGTTTGTGACCTGGTCTTTTAGACCAACAGTAATTCTGCCAACTTGTGTCTTTGCAGTCATCACTAAAAGCACGAGTGTTATCCTAGTGGATTACAGTAACGGCTCTACCTTTGGGCTGCCCAAGGGATGAGAGAACTGCTACCCTAGTCCAGGGAGGGAAGGAAGATCTGGCGTGGGGTTGGCCCACCCATGGAGTAATCCTTGGGCAGAATTGGCTCACCTGTGGTAAATGAATTAGACCAGTGTTGTTTGCAAACCAGCAGCAGTAAGTTGAGCAGCTCCTGCATGTTGAGAAATTAGGAATTAATTCAGAATGGGGTCCAGTCAGTCTGTGAATTGGCAGGGGACTCAAACTCGGAAGACCCAAGGAGTCACTCACACACTGTTCCCGGTCAGGGAACCAACTCATAGAATTTTCAGTGTGGCTAAAAAGATAGAAATATGAAATGAAAGTGTCCTGTATTCTAAGAATGCAGAGAGAAAACCCCATGACCATGGAGGTCTGGTTTTTTTCTCTGTTGGACACGTGGTGTGGTGGCATACATAGAGCTTTGGTCTGGGGTGGTGCCTAAGGGGCATTACTGATGCACAAGTAGTCCAGTGGAATTCATTTTGTGCCACAGGTAAATTGCCTAGCAATGGGGAAGTCGACCTCAAAGTAGAGGCCCTTTGTTCTGCCTGCCAGTCTCCTGCTTCAGCAGCATCTAGGGTAAAATCCTTTCAGTGAGCAGTTACTTTTCTGTACCTCCATTTTCACTGCATTTCAAATATATTCTTTCCCACATTATTTTCCTTTACATCCTAGTAGAATTTCTAGTATTTAAGTACAAGGAGATAGTTTGGTATTCCTGAGCTATAGGGTTATAGCTTCCCTTTCCCTAATTTTCTTGTCTATATAATGGTCAAATCTTTATTTTCATTAAATTATGGTAATTGATAAACCTTCTTTCATATTCAACTGAATATTTATCTGTGACACCAGTTTCTTTTTAAAATTTTTAAAAATTTAAAAATTAAACCGAACAAAACAGATCATAGGGTCAGAATCGAAGAAACACAGATTTCAAAGCAAGACCACCAGACAGCTTCACTGTCTGTTGTAATGCCTCTTGTTTTCTGCCAAGTAGTTGTCCATATCTTCACACACAGTGAATACATACTGAACAATATAGTACTAAGCTTTACACAACAGAATGATGAAGGCATTTTAGGTCTTCAAGACCAGATAATAGGGAAGTCAGCAATGGCTGCAATAATGTCTCTCATTCTCTTCAAAATAGCTGTCCATATCTTTACATATGTTTAAGTTAAATAAAAGAAAACAGATTAATATCACTCTGAACAGAGAATAATGGTATTGCTAGATTTTATATCATAATGCTACAAAAGTAGCACTGGCTATTTCAATGTCTCTCCTGAGTATCTCTTCATTACATTGTGCATTATATAACCTATTCTTGGAAACTGTTAGAAGTTCTACACATGCATGAACCTCTACATGTATACCTCTCTTTTCTATATTATAGGGAAAAAACATTAAAAGAAGACAACAAAACAAATTCCTAGAAAAACATGAAATGTAAAAGACATAAAAAACCACAATACTAGGTGATCTACAGTAGTTGCTATGATGTCTCTTGTTATTTTCAATAGAATTGTCCATATTATCAGTCATAATATAATTGAACATAGCACTACACAGCAATATTAATAAAAATACATCAATAAATCAAATATATCAGTAATCAAAAATATCAATAAACAACATTGGAGACATTATAGCACTACAAAAACAGTAATCAAACCAAAATGGGTATCCCATTGCATCTCATTCTTTTCAGTGTAGTTGCCTCTATTCTTGATACAGTCAAGCATACAAAATCCGAATAAAATGAGTCAAGGCAAAACAGCAATCTAACAAAGCAGAATCAAATAAGATCAGTCACTGTAAGACAATGTAAATAATATAGGGCTTCAATTTAAGTTAGTAGGAAATTAAGGATAGTTAGCATAGTATATTCTGCTATTTTTGGGATAGCTGTCTGTGCCCTCAATTCTGGTTTAAGTAGAAAGACTAAGGCAGAATAAAATCAATCTAAAGAGAGCAACAAGACTAATGTGGCTTTTAAATCCTGATACACTATTAAAAGTGTCTGCTGCCTTCTTTTTTTTAGACAATTTCTCCCCTTTCCCTTTCTCAGGTTGCTTTATACATTTTGGGTGCCACTAGCTCCTCTAGTTTTTAGATTAGGGGGGCAATCCATTATCTTCCTGAGTGGTGCTGAACGCTTTTACCCCTGAGCTTGATCTTGAGCTGTATTCCTTTATGTACTAAAGACCCAAGGTTTTTTTCCTTATAGCCGAGTAGTTCTGCACTGCACAAAAGTGTCATGACTTCCCAACCTATCTTCAGCTGCTGGATGAGCTGTCCCTATTTGTCTCTGTTCCTTGTCACATAGAGCATGATTTTCTCATCTTTGACTTTCAGTTTATTAACCCTCTTTCAGGTTGTGTATATTTCCTATCCAGAGCATCTCAATGGACCCTATCTCCTGATCTACTCTGCCTGTGTTTCTTTTTGTTAGTGTATGAAAGCCATCTATGTTAGAGATTATAGCCAACCTTCTCGGCCTCATCTCTACTATGCTATTTTCCTGCTATTGATTGTTTACTTTTCTCCTTCATTCCACTGTCTGTCCCTTTCATTGAGGTCTCTACCACTGTTTCTGGAATCCTGGTATTTTTTTCTCTTTCTGGAATGTCCTTCAGTATTTTTTGTAGTCAGAAACTCCACAGTTCCTTTTTGTCATGGAAACATTAATCTTGTTTGTCCATTAATTTTGAGTGTTTTTCAGGGTACATCAGTCTGGTTGTAGGGTTATTTTCTTTAGGGCTTGGAATACTTTGCTTAAAGTCCTTCTTGATTTGATCATTTGTGTCAAGAAATCTGTCATATTTTTGATAGGTGTTTCTTTATAGATCATCTGCTTCTTTGACTGCTTTTGCTATTCTGTTCTTGAGATGAATTTCTGGGATCTTGATTATTATATGTCTGGGTGTAGATCTCTTTTGGTTGTTGCTGGCTGCAGTTCTGTATACATCATTTATCTGCATACAATTTTCTTTTCCTATGGGTGGGAATTTTTCCTTAATTATTTCTGTGAATAGCTTTTGTAATTCATTTGTGTTGATTCCTGCTTCTTCACTCACATTTTTTATTAAGTTATAGATCCTTTTGTAATCTTCTAACCTTTTATTGTTTCTTCCTGGTTCCTTGTTAATTTTAAGAGATCTTTTTTTTCATAATCACACATTGCAAATCTATCTTCAAGTTTTGAAAGTTTCATTTTAGTTTCTGTCAAGGAATTTTTCCAGCTTTCAGTAGAAGTTTTAATGTCTTGGTAATCTCTCTGGATCTGTTTCATGTATTCTAGATTTTTAAAATATTCTTCATAAAAGGTTTCTCTTCTTTTTCTGGGTTCCTGCATTCTTCTGTCTGTGTCTTCTTGAGAGGTTTTAGACATTTCTTTTATTAATCTTTTTATATCTTGCCTCACTTGAATTAAAATTTCAGTTTTAATATCATCTATGAGGTCACAAAAGTATTTCTTTATTTCCTCTGATGCTCTGGCTGATATTGTATGATTGCTGCCCTCAATCTCTTCTGTATTTACCTCTCTTGGACTTATTTTCCCTGGGTCAGTGGCTGGAGGCTTTTTCTTGTTTCTTTCTCTTGTCATGTTTCTGGTTTTCTCAGTCAGGTGTACGGTGGAGATCTCAGGTCCTTTCCATATTGCTTATGGTTTTTCTGAAGCATGCTGGTTAGGGGATTGCTGCCCTCTCCAGTTTGCTGTTGATCTGCGAGGTACACACAGGGACAATGTAGGCTGGCCTCTTTCCTCTGAACCAGTCAACCGGCGGATGCCTTCAGCACATTAGTCTGTGTTGTATGGATGTCATAGGTTCAGGACAGTTTTGTCCCTGGCTGTTGTTTCCTGAATGGGGATATGACCCAGCCCAAGCAGATCCCACCAGTCCTCTTTGGGCCAGGGGTGGCTGACTGACACCACTGTGGTTCTGAGTTCAGGCCCATCCTGCCCAACTCCAATATGTCATCCAGCCAGTCACCCAATCCCCGGGACCCAATTCCTAGCACTGTCCACAGATGTCAGTTCTGCTCTCCATTGCACTGCATCCTCCTGCCAAGGGCCTTGGGCTCACCAACCCCCAATTTTGGGGACCGCAAATTCATCATAACCGTGAGTCATCTGATACCAAGGAATGCCCAGCACAGTGCAGGACTGGCCCCAGGGAGAGCATCTGGTTCCAGCCTTTCATCCATGTTGTTCTTTCCTTTTTCTTTTTCCTCAGTTTCTTCCTGGGTTGTGAGAATCCCTCTCCTTTCATCTGGTCTTCTCCCTGGTGTTAAATTCTAGCATCTGAGTTATTTCTCTCAGAAAGGCTGTCTACCCTGCTACTTATCAAGCTGCCATCGTCAGCAAGACTATAAATTCTGTCTAGAAAGAGAGATGAACTTAGTGTTATGAATAAGCAGGTGTTTTGAGAATGGTGGTTTACATGTGCTTCTTTGAGCTCTGCTTTAAAGTCAGTGAAAAACTACAGTATAGGTGCCCTGCAAGACAAGCCATGCCACAGTTCTATGATTACTTTGGAAGTTTGTTGCAGTCTAGCATCATTGTTACTGAGTGGCTAAATTTGAATGTACTTGAGTTTTGATGACTATGATATGCAGTTAATACTTAAGAGAATGACCTTTAGTTAGACATTTTATTTGGGGACCTGAGAAAAATTTGTTGTGTTTCTAACCTTCAGGGTACTTGTCATTATTTAGGAGACAGTGACCTTTAATGATGTAGCTGTGAAGTTCACCCCAGAGGAGTGGGATTTACTGACTCCATTCCAGAAGAAGCTCTACAGAGGTGTGATGTGGGAAACATACATGAATATTACTGTGACACGTAAGGATGATATATTTTATTTATTTATGCAAACAGCATTGATTATTACTCAGTGATATAGTGTAATATATTTGATAACTATAATATTGTCTTACATATCTCAGGCCTGAGTATATTATACTATGAGTATAACTGGAACCAGTGATGCTTTAATGTTATAGTGAATTTTTTTTTTTATTTCTATGTCTGTCATACAGGAAGAATATGGCACAACCTGCAAATTAAAGAAGAGGACAAAAATTGTTCAAGAAATCTAAGGTGATTGACACACATAAGAGAAAGGGAACATTTCTTAAGTGTCAGTTTTTGAGAATAAGTATTGGAACAAAGGAACTTGAAGAAATGAGATCATATTCCACTTTATTTAACCTCAGAGAAATATCAAGAGAAACACTTGATTTTATTTTGTATTATCTGGAAATCCATATTAAAGGATTTGAATGTAGGAATCAGAGGTAGTGCTGATACTATGTAACAATTAACACTATCTAATACATCAGTTTAAAAATTGCTTTCATGATCAACATCATGGAAATGTATGAGAGTAAATTTAAATATTGTAATCTAGAATCTAGGAAATGAAAAAAATTGTGAATTTTCATAGAAACTCTTCTTCAAAGTATCGTTTGTATATATGTGAATAATGAGACTTTCATGGTCTAAAAAATTTTTCACATAGAATCAGTACTTAAAGTGGAAATAAATGCTACAGTTTATAATAAATACTTTGAAAATATCCTATAGAATGTTGAGCTTTTCATGTTTAAATTTCTTCATACATTGTTGATGGATACATAAAATAGAAACATGGTAAAAAATATTCAGAGGTCTGAAAAGTAAAATGATATGTTTCATATTTTTTCACATGTACATCTATCAGTATATACTTTTGATTTTTACTTTTGTGCCATGATTTTATAATGTAGTTCAGATTGACTTTGAACTTACTGTGTAGTCCATACTGGCCTGAAACTCAGAGGTATCCTTCTGCCTCTACCTCCTGACTATTGATTGAGTTGTACTGTTTCATTATGTGCAATGATTCACAATATATTGTGAAATACATTAAGATCATCAAATGTTAATAATCCACACAATGTGGTGTTCAGTGCAGCACATGAAGTCATTTACAGCATCTAATAGAAGAATCAACTCAAGTACCTAAGCTATGGGAATAGCCCAGATGCCCATCACGGGTTGCCAAGGTAAAGAAAACGTGGAGTCAGCTCATCATGGTGGTGCATCCTTGCGATCCCACTACTCTGGGAGGCTGAATCAGCTGAATGACAATCTGATGCTCAGCCCAAGCAAGTTCATGGTCAATAAGAATCTCTTTCAAAAACAAATAATAGGTCAGCAAATTTAATTCAGTCCAATACCTGTGTTTAACTCTACACTGAAATAAAAAATGCCAAACAAGGAACTGTGATATGTTTTCACAAGAAACAGAAAGAGTTGAAGCTTATGTGAAATAAATCAGACTCAGAAATGGAAGTATTACAGGTTTTCCCTTAAATGGGAAGGTAATAGCATATTTGAGGCAAGAGAGATAATATGAGACCAGAAACCCTTACTTTCTGTAGATGAGAAAGATGATCAGGCTAAATAGATGATGGGGAGAATGAAGACATGAGGAGCTAAAAAAAAGATCAATATTTGATAGTCATTTGTACCAATCCTAAAATGATATTACATATTAGAATCATATACCAATTTAAAATTCTCAAATGAAAACCATCCTCTTTAGAATGACTAGTACTTTGAAAGAAGTACTGCAGGACAGTGAGTCAGTTAACCATTAGAATTACTTAGCAGGCATCAAACCAAAGTAGTCATCATAAACCTCAATTGTTAATGAGGAGCTCTTTCCATTGTGATTGATATCTTTTTATTTTTTTACAGATATGATGAACACAATTATTTGAGAATTGAAGAGCAGCAATATAAATGTAATGAAGATGTAGAGACCTACAGTGATTTCCAGTCCGTTCAGAAGCAATGTGGGAAAGCATTCAGTATACTCAGTAGCTGTCAAAGACATAAAAACATTCACACTGGGGAGAAGCCCTGTGTATGCAACAAATGTGGGAAAGTATTCACCACAGCCAAATGTAAAGCACATGATAGAACTCACACTGGGGAGAAACACTTTAGATGTAGGCAGTGTGGGAAATCTTTCAGTCGAAAGGATAACCTTATTAATCATGAAAGAGTTCACACAGGTGAGAAACCCTTTATATGCAACAAATGTGGGAAAGCATTTAGTACAGTCTCTGGCTGTAAAGCACATGAAAGAATTCACAGTGGGGAGAAACCCTTTGTATGTAAGCATTGTGGGAAATCTTTCAATCGAAAGGATAACCTTAGTAATCATGAAAGAGTTCACACAGGGGAGAAACCCTATGTATGCAACAGATGCGGGAAAGCATTCAGGAGTGCATCACAATGTAAAATACATGATAGAATTCACACTGGGCAGGAATTCTACATATGCAACAAATGTGGGAAAGCATTCATCAGTGCTTCACAATGTCAAAAACATGACAGAGTTCACACTGGGGAGAAACCATTTGTATGTAGGCAGTGTGGGAAATCTTTCAACCGAAAGGATAACCTTATAAACCATGAAAGAATTCACACTGGGGAGAAACCCTATGTATGCAACAAATGTGGGAAAGCATTCATCAGTGCGTCACAATGTCAAAAACATGATAGAATTCACACTGGGGAGAAACCATTTATATGTAATCAGTGTGGAAAATCTTTCAAGCAAAAGCGTTATCTTATTACACATGAAAGACTTCATACTGCAGAGAAACCTTATGTGTGCAACAAATGTGGGAAAGCATTCATCAGTGCATCACAATGTCAAATACATGATAGAATTCATACTGGGGAGAAACCATTTTTATGTAAACAATGTGGAAAATCTTTCAAGCAAAAGCGTTACCTTATTATACATGAGAGACTTCATACTGGGGAGAAACCCTATGTATGCAACAGATGTGGGAAAGCATTCAGTTCAGCCTCTAGCCTTAAAGCACATGATAGAATTCACACTGGGGAGAAACCATATGTATGTAAACAATGTGGGAAATCTTTCAGTCATAATTGTACCCTTATTCTACATGAAAGAATTCACTCTGGGGAGAAACCCTTTGTATGTAAGCAATGTGGGAAATCTTTCAACCAAAAGGATAACCTTATTAAACATGAAAGAATTCATACAGGAGAGAAACCCTATGTATGCAACACATGTGGGAAAGCATTCGTCAGTGCAAAACGATGTAAAGTACATGATAGAATTCACACTGGGGAGAAACCCTTTGTATGTAATCAATGTGGGAAGTCTTTCAAGCAAAAGCGTTCTCTTATTATGCATGAAAGCCTTCATACTGGGGAGAAACCCTATGTGTGTAACATGTGGGAAAGCATTCAGGACAGAGTCTAGCTATAAGCTACATGATAGAATTTACTCTGGAGAGAAACCATATGTATGTAAACAATGTGGGAAATCTTTCAGTCAAAAAGGTAAGTTTATTATACATGAAAGAATTCATACTAGGGAGAAAACCTTTGTAAACAATATTTAAAAAGCTTCAGTCAAAATGCTATCCTTAATGAATTTTTTTTTGTCTTTTTCCTTTTTATCGGTATCCTTATTGATGAAAGAACTCATACTGGGTAGGAACCTCTGTGGACATAACCAAATTGGCAAAGCATTCAGTATGCAGAGGTGCTAAAATAAACCCTATTTGTGTATGCAATTTGGGATGTCTTTCAGCTATGGTTGTAGCTTTTGTGTATACAAAAGGATTCACTCTGTAGAAAAACCCTACCTGTATGAGAAATGAATAAGCGGGTTTGTTGGTAAATTCGCAATTCATAAACATGAAAGATCCTACACTGGGGGAAAACCTATGAACATCAGGAATGTAGGAAAACTTTCCACAACTGGAGAGATTGTCACTGTATGACAGAACTCCCTCTGTGTAGTAATTCTGTGCATTTTGTGCACAAAAATGCCATCAAATAGGGGAATAATGCACACAAGATAAAAACCCTATGTATGTAGGCAGTGTGGGAAAAATATGCTGCAGTTTTTCCCTTTTCCAAACAAGATTCCTTCACACTATAAGAAATATTGGAAAAAGTTGAGATGACAGAGGTGCTAACCTGACTGATGTCACATTGTGGCCTGAGCTTATGTATGCAATGTGGGAAAGCATTCAGTATACATGGCTATTGTCAAACATATGAAAATAATCAAATGAAATCATATGTACATAGGTGACTTTTGAAAATAATTCATAAGTTACTCATGGAGAGGAGACTGGTAAAAATAATATAAAATTATTGCTGTAAATATACATAGGTTTTTTTTGAAAACACCCTCAGTGCAGTTACCCCAAAACATTTTCTTTTTTATAAATCACACATAAATATCTGATCTATTTTTTTGTAGTCTTAATTTAAAAATACAGTGTTTAAAGCAAATTTAAGTATGCTGAGGTTTTTTTCCCCATGTTTTTGATCCACCAATGTCTTGTTGGATGATACCAAGTTACCTCAGGACCATTTTTTCTCACCATAATCTGTAACTCTTGTATCAGTTTACCCAGAGGATGTATACATTCATATTCAAAAATGTGCTTGTATTTATGGCCGATGTATGTAGCCATGCTTATGGTAAGGTATACCATCACAGAAGCTAAAGCAGACCCAGTCACTGTTAGAAATAAGAATGAACTTAAATTAGGGAAAAATCTTATGTATGCAACAAATGTGCAAAAATGTTCAGTACACAAACAGGTTCTAAAATACATGATAGAACTCTGAATAGGGAGAAACTGTGAAGGTAATGTGCAAAATCTCTCAGTAAATATTGTAACCTTGTCCATAAAACTTCACACTTGGGCGAAACTGTATGTAAGACATAGTAAGAAAGCTTTGCTGATAATCCACATTTTAACCTTATGTATGTAAGCAATGTGGAAATCTAGCAGCCAAACCCATAGCTTGCAAATGCATCAAGGAATTCACAATGGAAAGAAATTCTGTAGGTGAGCAATTTAGGAAAACATTCAGTTCACATAGTCAGTGACAAACACATGAAAGAACCCACAATAGGGAAAATCTGTATGCATGTAAGCAACGCAGCAAATGTTTCCACCACTACTGATTGTAATGACATGAATTCACACAAGGAAGTAACCTTATGCATTGCAACAATGGAAAAAAGCAGTTAGTGCAAAATAATGCCATCAATTAAAGAAATAATGCACACAAGGGAGAAACCCCATGTAAGTAGTCAACATAGAAGATGTTCTTGCAAATTTTTCATTTTATAAATGCTAAATTTCCCACACACTGGAGAATAACTGTGAAAAAGATGTATTGAGAAAAAATTTCCACTGACAGAAATGCAAACCTCCAATATGATGTCACATTGTGGCCAAAGCCTATGTATGCCATGTGATAAAGCACTCAAAGTATTTGGGTATGGTCAAATACATGAAACTCAGCACTATGAAGAGAAACTGTACATATGTAAGTGACTATTTTGAAAATACTTTGGAAATTATTCATGTAGTCAAGACCTGTAGAAATACCATAAAAATTGATGTCAATATATATTGATAAATTTTCCAGCAATCACACTTGAAGATGAAGATATTCCAAAGCATATTCATTTTGTGTTATTGTGTCACACATAACTACCTGGCCTATTTATCCATAGTCTTACTATTGAAAAATCACACTTTTTAAAGATGATTCATGGATTCTAAAGGATTTTCCCCACATTTTGGATTCACTGATATCATCTTGATAGATGACACCTATTTTCTCACAAATATCCTTTTCTACTTCCATCCATCTCAAATGATTTTTTCTAGAAGAATCTGCACAAAGACATTGAGAAGTGTCCTTCACCAGGTTGTATGACATATATTCTTGTATGTATGCCTATTATAATCACAAAAGCAAAAGCAAATTTAAAATATGTATAAATGCATTCATGCCTATTTCTAGTATATAATTTAAGTATTCATCTTTGGAAGTCATCAGTATGTATAAAAGGTCTGAGTTCTTTATTGTTGCTTTAGCATCCTCTATTTACATCTTTGCTCTATTGCTTGCTCTTCTCCATTTTTGAAAGAGATATGCTCATACTGCTTATTATACATCATGTAGTTTTATACAAATTTACACTCTATCCCTCTATTAAGTCAGTCATTTATGAATAGCAGAATCCTGAATATGCAAATGAATTAGGATTTCACACAGTTCCTAGGATTCAAAAGAAAATGCATGCCATATGATTCCCAGAATAGGAATGGAGAGTGATGGAAATCATATCATATCATGACACCAGAAAGACAGTCACCAGTGCGCGTTAAATAAGGTTATGATCACAAGTATGCAAATATATTGTACGAGAATTGTACAATTAGGTTTTTCTTTCCTGTGAAACAGTCTTGCTGTGTAGTTCAGGCTGTTCTTGGGCTCTGTTTTAAATCTAGAATGGTCTTGTGCTCACATTGTAGTGTAGGATGATATTAGGCTCACTTTATAGTTCAGGCTGACCTTGAACTTGTGGCAATCCTCCTGCCTTAGCTTTCCAAGTCCTGGGTTACAGGCATGCACCACCATGCCTAGGTTGTAACATTAGATTTACCTAGCAAAAAATTCCATGGAAGGATGATAATATACCACTTTTGCCCCTCACTGTCCATCTTTGGGGCATGGCACTGCTAAACTCTCATAGTCTCCCTTTAGGCATATGTTCCACAGTGGTGTTTTAGTGGCATTTTAAGATATTAAAATAAAATTCAGAAATGAAAGGTGACAAAGTCTGAATCATGTTCCATTTTCAGTAGCATAAGTAAATCTAATGTCACTTGGATCCATCATGGATCTCAGTTTCCTTCATCAGAGTATTGTCATGTGATGTCACAACCTGACAAGACGGTTAAGTGCAAGGCTGGATGAGATATGAAGAGAGAGACAAAACATTCACAGGATGCTGATTACACCATGGTTATTGTGCCAATTTCTATAGTACCATTGTAATTTTTTATTCATATATAATTTTCCATTTATTCCAATATATATATATATATATATATATATATATATATATATATATATATATATATAATGTTATTTGTATAACTTTACATGTTAGTAACATATAACTCTCCCTATTGGAAATATACTTTGAGGCAGTTGGCATTTCTGCACACTCGATCCTGAGGTTAAATATTGTTGACAAATTACTACAATGTAGTTTCTACTTTTTCCCATTATTTTAGTGTTTTATCATGTTTTAAATAAAATGGTTCAGACATAGGTAAAGTGGTGATTTCATATGATTTAAGCAATCTGGGAACCTGAGGCAAAAGGATTTCAAATTTGCAATTTAATCCCAGGCTTGGCAAGTTGGAAACATAGTGAAACCTGTCTGCAAATAAATAGTGCTGGGGAGATTGATCAGTATAAATGTCCTGGATTCCAGTATCAGCCCTGAAAAGTTAAAATAGACCTTCTTTCCCAATAAGGCAGTAAAACCACTGGCCTCATCTCACACTCTGAACAGACCTGACCTTTTCTCATCATCCCCCCTCAGAGTTTAGGAGTGATTTCCAAACTACATAGTCTCCAATCACCAGAGTACAGTTCCCATCCTACCTACTGCACTTAGGAGTTAACTTGCAAAAAAAATACAGTTATTCAATCCGTGCTAAAGACAAGAGCAACCTCATTTTAAGTGCAGTATTGTCCTTGTGGGCCATTTCAGTAGCTCATATGTAATCCAAGAATGGCACCCATCACTTTGCTAATCAGTACACATTTTGGATCACTTTCCCTGTCCCTTCCACCTCAAATATTTGGTCTTTCCTCAACAGCTGGTGCAGGAAGGTCCTGTGCATTATGAAATGGAAAGAAGTACAGGCAGATCAGGACAACTCGTTATGTGGAGTCTTCCTTCATATTTTTGTCATTATGTTTTGGGCCCAGGGTCACCTGCTGATGAAGGGCCTTAGAATTTGTGCCTGGCTGCTGGATGACTTTCTCAGAGAACAAGAATCAAATACACAAGGAAACCATCTAGAGGCTACAAATGTTAGGTGTGGGGCCAGGTGTTCTGAGCTGGATACAGTTGGACTGGATGTTATCTGATGAAGTTGGAATCTCCCCATGAAATCTGTGAATCTGAGCTCTCCAGTGGCTTCAACCTGATCCCTTCAGGTCTGTGCCATGGGGCTTGGCTGGCAGTGAGGATGCCAGTTCCCTGTCCTTTTCCTATTTCAACTTCAGCCTCGTGCAAAGTGGTACCCATTTAGCAAATTCTACTGCATCTCTATGTCTTAATATTCTTTATGGTGACTTCATTAGTGCATGTGGAGTCTACAGGCTCATCTGTAGTCTCACATAGAAAAGTATTTTTTTCCTCATTTGTAGTTCCTCTACATATATTTCTTTGCCCTTTGTAATTTGTCATCTGAGAAGAGTGTATTCATCTGAAATGCCCAATTTTGGATTCAGTTTTAAATTTGGAGGTTCTAGTTTTCTCCAAATTTATATATGCTCCAGGTATTAGTCCTTGGTCTGAGAATACAGATCCAAAATTGTTTTCCCTAGAAGGCCAGGCAACCCCTGGCGTGAGTGTCCCCGCACCATCACCCGAGCCCAGGGAGGTAAGATCCCCAGCCAGGGAACTTCACAGCTTCCTGCTGCACTGGACCAGCTCAACAGGTCTTGA